CATTTGTTTCCAGTGGCCCTGGGTTCTATTCCCAGTAGGAGGACGAGGAAATACGCACCACTGACGAGAGTCAATAGGGGGACGCGTCTCGTGCGGTTACGGACTGGTCTGTGCTTTGTAGCTTGTAAACCACTGGAATGAATACCTTAAAACTAATTTTTCTCGACTGTGCGTGGCATGCTCAAGGAGGTATGAGCAAATAATAGCGGCTGCCGCCAACCATGTGTGTGATTGTGTTGCTTGGGTTTGTAACCGTGTCGTTGCACTAGATAAATAAATAAATAAATAAATAAATAAATAGTATATTCTCGAATTTCCGAGACACACCTGACCAGGCATGATCAACGTTTACAAGCAATTTATGTTTCGCAACAAACACGTTGCTATGTATGTAATCGGCAATAAGCCGAAAGTTGTCCAAGCTTTGGAAATTGTAAAATTAATCTTGAGGTATAAATTCGTCAAAACATGACGACAAGTTGGGTTATAGTGGGCGTAGTGTAAACAGGCTGGGCATTCCGTTTGTAGAGAAAACTTGTCAGGAAAATATTACATTAGGATTCAGGTCGGCTTGCCAGTATGTAGTTGTGGGCAGTGACTTTATTCAGTGGCGAGTCACATCCGCCACGTCGCAGTGTTGTTAAGCGGACACTTGTGGCTTTTTATAGGGAGAACGCTTGCCAGGCGAAAACCCACCACGTCCTGAAACACTGTCAGAAATCCGTTTGTACACTAATGTAAAACTGGCAGAGCAGCTCGTCGACTGATTTAACACTCGGTTAACCGCCGTCAATTGCCTTCTAATTTCCTCTGTTAGCTGAACAGGTTATTTTTGCTCGCGGCGGCCATAATGGCTGAGGCCTATGGAGGGTTAGACCTTCGTCATCTTCGTGTCCAGGTGAGCAAAACTTCCGTTTCTTGCTTCTAGAATTTACAGGATTATGTATACTTCGCAGGAGTATAAAGGCGTCATGTCCAGCTACCATTACTGGACGACGGTCATGGTAGTGAGTGCATTTTTATCCACTTGTTGTACAGCCGTGTTCTATGTAGGTCCTTGGGGGTTTCTATGTCCTGTCCCAGGAGCAGGCGCTTTCACATTCCGATCCCAGATCTCCAGGAAGTTCCAGACCTCGGAGAAAGGGAAGGTGAGAGACAAACAGGGCCGCAAAGAACAGACGTGGAAACAAGCATTATTTATGTTAGGTCTAACCCTCCATAGGCCTCAGCCATTATGGCCGCCACGAGCAAAAATAACATGTTCAGCTAACAGAGGAAATTAGAAGGCAATTGACGGCGGTTACCCGAGTGTTAAATCAGTCGACGAGCTGCCCTGCCAGTTTTACATTAGTGTACAAACGGATTTCTGACAGTGTTTCAGGACGTGGTGGATTTTCGCCTGGCAAGCGTTCTGCCTATAAAAAGCCACAAGTGTCCGCTTAACAACACTGCGACGTGGCGGATGTGACTCGCCACTGAATAAAGTCACTGCCCACAACTACATACTGGCAAGCCGACCTGAATCCTAATGTAATATTTTCCTGACAAGTTTTCTCTACAAACGGAACGCCCAGCCTGTTTAAACTACGCCCACTATAACCCAACTTGTCGTCATGTTTTGACGAATTTATACCTCAAGATTAATTTTACAATTTCCAAAGCTTGGAAAACTTTCGGCTTATTGCCGATTACATAAATAGCAACGTGTTTGTTGCGAAACATAAATTGCTTGTAAACGTTGATCATGCCTGGTCAGGTGTGTCTGGGAAATTCGAGAATATACTATTTATTTATTTATTTATTTATTTATCTAGTGCAACGACACGGTTACAAACCCAAGCAACACAATCACACACATGGTTGGCGGCAGCCGCTATTATTTGCTCATACCTCCTTGAGCATGCCACGCACAGTCGAGAAAAATTAGTTTTAAGGTATTCATTCCAGTGGTTTACAAGCTACAAAGCACAGACCAGTCCGTAACCGCACGAGACGCGTTCCCCTATTGACTCTCGTCAGTGGTGCGTATTTCCTCGTCCTCCTACTGGGAATAGAACCCAGGACCACTGGAAACAGATGCCGACTATCCAGCAGCGTAAGCCACTGAGCCATGGAAGACGTTGGTTACGCTACATAATTTGCAGGCGAACTGGGATATAGCATTTTCTAGCTTCTATTGTCAATAAGTGTGTTTAACCTTTGAGGTGGTTACGTCCTGTCACAAGACGGTTTAGGTATAGCATTTGAAACTGGAAAAAGCAAGTTGTTTTATAATACTGCTACGCAAGAGTAGCAGTGGTACACTTAATCAGTATGGCACTCCTGCCCGCCTTAAGACCATACCTGCAGGTTCATAGCAGCGCTGGCTCTACTACGCACTATTTTCCCATCAGCTTGTGCATTTTTTACTCTAAATCAGTGCTGCTACGCCTAAACGGTTGCTCAACGCTCCAGCTTGCTTAACCATTAAACCACTGGTTAATATAGATGTCCAGTTGTTCCGCTGGCTTTTCCCTACTTAGTCCACCTTATTACTATTCCGTTACCACCCCAGGTTGACTTGAATCTCTACGCAACGCTGCACTTAGCGCTCGTATGTCGACGTCCACAGTAACCTTGATGTATACGTGTGTTCCGCCTGTTTGCTTTCCATCATTTGAGGGTTTTGTGACCCCTTCTATAGCGTAAGCTTTTCTTATCTAGGCAGCACACAGTCGCTTTTTAAACAACCATTGGGTGTTCTGTCTCCGCCTTGCGGCAACGTTTTCGACTCTTGCTTCTGTTGGTGTCCAGCTAACCGTCTGCCGTAGCACGATTCCATTAACACACTCATGTCGCCCTTAGGTTTAAATCTTCTAAACATTTTTATTCCGCACTTGCGTCTTATCTATCCGCTGCTTTGCCACTTATTGACCTTTGCGTGGCTCACGTCGCGTGCTGTTTATATTTGTACTCACTTATGCTGCACTTCCAATTGCATTAGGTCAACTGCTTTCTGTTCCTTCAGCATTCCCTCGCAGCCAGTCTGCTAACTTCCATGTTTCTCTTCTGTCGCAATCGTTGCACCATACTAAACTGATACTTCGTGGCTGGCTTAGGGGTGCGACGCTCTGTACCCTATGTAGATGGTAGCACTCCACCTGTACGGTCAGTGCCTTTTGTATCACGTTCAAAAGACACTTTCACCATAATCATTGTTGCACATTGTAGAGCATTTGGTCTCAAACCTATAGTTGTAACATACGACGCTAACAATGTTTAATTTCACGCCTGTTCGTTGCGGTCTTCGCTCGGTGTTCAACACTTTCCCTTTTCTAGGAGGTCCGGAACTTCATCGGGATCTGGGATTGGACGGAGGAACAGCGTTTTCGCCGGAGACGGACAGATGAACCGAAACGGACCTACGTGGTACATGACTGTAAATCAAAGGGATTCAACGGCATTCACTACCACAAACGACCGTTGTCCAACGGGGCTAACTGGACACGATGTATTCACACCTCCACAAAGTATAGATAACCTGAAAAATCCAGACAACTGAACCTGAAATTTTCGCTCACCGGGACACATAGCAAGGCAAATGTTAGTGACTTTCATCTTCGACATGCCTCAGCGCTTGTGGCGACCTTGACTAAGCTACCTGATCAACCAACAGAGGAACTTGGAAGTGGTTTTACTGTGAATAACCGTGTGTGAAATCAGTCGGCAAGCTGCTTTGCCAGTTTTAATTTTGGGTTCAACAGAGTTTAGGGCAGTATTCTGGGACGCAGTATGCTTTCGGCTGGCAAGCTTCTCCCTATAAACGCCAAAAATGTCCGTTTAGCAACGCTGTGACGTGGCAAATGTGCCTCCCCACTAAATACATTCACTACAAAGAACTACATACTGGCAGGTCGACTAGAGTCAAAGTTCAAGCTTTTATTGACATGTACGAGAATAAGACACGGTCTATATATACTTTTTTCCTTACACTTATAGTGCCTTGACCGTTTGCATTATGCCCACTTGTACCCAGGATATTGTCATGCATTGACAAGTTTATTTCCCAAGATTGCTTCCTAAACCTCCGCAAAC